TAAATGCAACAAAAAAGGCTAAGGCCTTTCATCAAGGATATCCATCAAAATGAAGATGAAGAATTACAAAGATCTATGAAAGATGATGACTACTATCATATTACGTATTGTCTTATTTAGGAATGCACCAGGCATCTAGCTATGGAAGGGTGAGGTTGTGTTTCACAAATATCCAAGAAATCCTAATAGGTTTTATCCATATAAGAAGAATATAATTTGAATTTCAATTCAAAAGTACTAAAAACACTCTTCTTAGTAGCCTTAACTATACATAAATCCCAATTATCTTGTTACTTTCATATTTAAGTAATTTAGATTTTTCTTATAAGTCCTAATCCTAATTAGTGAGGTTTAACAAGCTGTAACATCCAATCCAACCATCCACTTGATGTAAAATTTTTCATGTGATTGTCAATGTAAGTCTTCTATATGCTCAAGAATTTTTAGCCCAATCCAACTTACAAATTGTGAGAAAACCTCTAAAAAGTGCATTGATGTCACTCGGCCGCTAACTTGAAAAGTGAAGCAAAAATTCCAGCAGTAATTTCTTCCTTTTCAACTTTTAACATTGACTCAGACTTGGTGTGCAGCTTGATCTTCAAGTCCTTCAATACCATGCCAAATTTCACCTTGATCCAATTGATAGATCTCCAAATATCACAAAAACCCTATCTAACCTCAAACTGCTAACTTCCAAAATCCTCTTGTGTTAAAAACTAGATATCTCTAAACCACACTGTTAGATTATGACAAAATTTTGTAAATACTTAGCACACCCAATAATCCAAATAATTTCAATTTTTCAATGGTAGATGCTACACCAATTGTACGAACTAGCCAAAATTGCAAGCCCTAATTATATCATATAAAATCCAAATCACCAATACAAATTCTATCTTTGAACAACAATTTCTAAGACCTCAAAAACTCTCCAAAAACAATCCTTATGCCCTTAGAAAGAACTTCAAGCTAGCTCTCAAATCTTGTCCTTCAATCTTCAAATGAATCTCTATTTTCCCTAGGCCATTGTTTTTGTAGCTAAAGGTCTGATTTCGACCCTGTCTCACAAATGGCCAACCCTCGGATATCAATTTAACCTATCCTAAGGATTTTTTAGCCCAATCCTACTCTCAACTTAACCTTAGTACCAACTATATTAATTATTTACCTCTTTTAACCTGATTTTATCAATTTATGGTCTTTCTAAGGTAATAGAAAAGTCTCTACAACCTAGAAGGTAAAATTACTAACTAACTTTCAACTTACTAACTATTAAGATAAGGAAATAACCTAAGAGGCTTTTATAAAAGCCATGTCTAGACACCTCAAATTATAATTGAACTAAGATAATTAGATATTAATTAGAAATTCAATTTTGATTATAATTTCACTATATAGTTGTATTACATCACGACACCGTTCCTTATGAAACTCATTCCTAAAAGAGAGGATAATGTCACAAACATATACATTTACTCCAATAGTTACTTATATCATTAGATAGAAGTAGGTAAATATAGATTAATTTCATAAAGTCTTATAGAATAGCTTTTTAGAAGCTTCATAGATGCAATTTTGACTTTAGATGCATTTATAGGATAGAAACTTGGCCAAAAAATTAATCACGTGTTGGTAGCTTGTGGAACAAGTTAATTCCGTTTAGTAGCTTGTGTAACAAGGTAACTATGTGGCGCATACATAGATAACTTGTCTTGTAAGTTAAGACATGTAGTTAGTAAAGTCAACACGTTTTGAAGGTCCTAAAGGACATTGTCATATAACTCCTAGTTAAGAGTATATATGGAGGCAAGAGCAAAGCCTTCTTCACTCTTGTCAATGCCTTTTAAGTCCTTAGTCTTGTTTCAAGACTTTCTAATCTTTTTATTTTTATCAATAGCCATTCTAATTCAATGTTATATCATCTTTGAGTTGCTTTTGTAGTTCCTTTCAATGACACAACAAAGTATTGAGGATTTTCTTTCTTTGAGATTCATGTCCTTGACATAACTATTCTTAATGGTATTTAAAATATTTGATTTGAAGTTATAAAGGCCTCAACAATGTTCAAATAATAAATTTGCCTTCTTGTCTTAGTATATGACACTATTGATGGTTGATAGAATATATAAAGTATCTTCAAAAAGAAAAAAAATTAAATTATATGGCAAATAGAATTTGCTACATCTTGGACTACTTCAATATGTAATTATTTCTCCTCAAGGAACTTCTTTCTAAAAAAGAAGATAATATCATGGATATATATATATATATATATATATATATTGATACTAATAAAAAAAATTAAATAGAAGTAAGTAGAAGTAGATAAATTTAATAATATCATATGAAGATGCTTCTTTTAAGCTTTATAGATACAAATTTGACTTTCCAAATATTTATAGATAATTGGTAGGTTGAAAAATTGGCCACATGTTGCATACATTGACTATTTTCTTTACAAGTTGGTCACATGCCATACATGTTGGTTACTTGTCATAGAAGTTTTTCATGTAGAGTATATATTAGAAACTTGTCTTATAAGTTAGATATGTGTCAAATGACCTATAAAATATGGCCATGTAGCTCTTTAACTAAAAAGTATATATAGACATAAGAATAAGGCCTCTCTTAGTCTTATTTATGTCTTTTTTATTTGTAGCCTTATTTCAAGAATCTCTACTTTTCTTATATTTGATAACATCTATTTTAGTTTCTATTTTATATCTATCTTTGATTTTTTTTACTTTCTTTCTTTGAGTATTACAAGAGAGTATTGTTTTTTTAGATTTTTTTTTATGATTCATATCCTTTACAATATTCTTTCAAAACAATTAACATTCTATATTCAAAAAAATATAATATTTTTATCAATAGTAAGGTCATGAAAGTTTGGCATTAATCTTTTGTTAAATATCATTCAAATTGTTACAAATTAATCTACTTCTTAGTCTTTATAAAACTTGATTCTAAATACAAATTCTTATTTGTCCTTTTAGAAAAGAATCCACAATTTTCAAACTTAAAGAATGTCTTGCACAAACTTCAAGCACATATATGGACACTTTAACCAAATATTATATGATGTAACATCTATCTTAGAAGGCATGTATAGCAAACACTTTCATGGCTTTCTATTCATTGAGTGAAAATAATTCTATTTTATTTTTTTTATTTATAAGATTTTTAAAAATATTATAATTATGACTAATTTCTATTAATTTTCTTTCTTTTATATTGAACATAGAGATATCTACCAATTAATGCAAATCTTCATTATTAAAAATATTATCAATAACTAAAAGATAATTTTTCTATTGAAGTTGTTGTACCAATAATTATATTCTTTCTACAAGATCATTCATTGGATTTATTATCTTTATCTAATGATTTCAAAATATTATTTGATTCAACTAAATTGTCATTTTTTTATTACATATTATTATATTATATAGATATGATGTACTATCAAATAAAGTTACATTTATAATATCATTTTTTTTGTATCCAATTTTTTATAAATGTATATGTAGTCTTATCTATACATGGTATTCCAACTTCAACAGCAATAATACTTTTTACGAATTTTTTTTTTTAAAAAAAAAAAAAAAATCATTATTATTATTAATTTTAAACTAGCTTGGATTTTTTCAAATTGTTGGCAAACTATATGTCAATACAACACCAATTACACATAGATTTTTTATTATGATTATAATTTTAAATACTAATAATATTAAATTGTACATATAAACATAAATATGCATATGAAGACAATACAAGATCAGCTACATCTTAAATTCAGACATAAAAGTACCAACATTAAAGGACAAAAAAATAAAACTTACATTTAATTTAATTGCAAGAGAAGAAATTTTTAAGATTTCCACCTAAAATAAATAAATCATTAATTTTTTTTAATTGGTGAATAATCATTGTAAAGACTTTGTTGCTTTTTAAGTTGTAATTTCATGTTGTAAATGATTTCCGTTGTCCAACCAAAACATAAGATTTAATTGATAAAAAATAATAATAATAATAATAATAATAACAAAAAATAAGTACTACTATATGTAAAGTTCATTTTTTCAAAGTGTTGGCTATCCATCATTGCCTCCAAGTGACAAATTGTCATCATTGACATCAAACAATCTTGCAAGATTGTTCATTATAACTCTTTGGTGCACAAAACTAACATAAAAAAATCAAGAAAAAACAATAGAAAAAATAAATATATTTAGAGTTAATCAAAGATAAATACCACAATGTCAATTCAACTTCTACAAATAAGATGATGGAATGTTCTTTGGGAGTTTACTAAGTATAATTATTTTTATCAAACTACCAACTTTGGCCCTCTAAGCTAGTATTGGCACAAGCCATGGTCATGCAAGACATCATTCACACCAACCATGGCCACACATGAGGGCCATGAGAGCCATGAATGAATGTTTGAATTTGTGTTTAAATTCTTGTTCTATTTTGTGTTAAAAAAAAATTAGATCTACACAATACATATTAAAAAAATACCTTTCTAGTAAAGTTGTAATATTCCTACTCCTCCTCACCTCCATTTACCCACCTTCTCTTGCAATGGTATGGACACCTTCTCTTTAACCTACAATTGCAACAACAAAGTTTTGACTAGGGGTGGGTCTTTGACAAATACTTAAAAGTGGATGGAACACCATATCAATATCATAAAACTAGCATTAAAAAACTACAATTACCATCAAAGTGGAACTCTCATATCTCATTGTCACATGGTAGCCAAGCATCAATAGGAATACCAGCACAAACATGAAGCCATGACAACCTTTTTTTGACAATTTCTTAACAAAAGAGGCGAAAAAAAAATTAAATAAATAAATAAATAGAGAAGAAGAGGAAACTCTCTCTACACATCCTAAAATTAATTAAGCATGTCTTTCCTTTCTTTCTTTCTTCTCCCCTTAGCTTCACACATTTTTGTGGGGAAGTACACAATTTTTTTTTTACTTTTTTTCTTTTTTCTGTCTATTGAGTTGTTTTTTTCCTGTCGAAGTTGCTCTCCAACGTGTGCCATCATGCTCCCTGCCTTTAAGTTGTACTAGTACTGCAGTGATCGGTTCGTCATATTTTTCATGGGTTTCTTTTGGAAGTTGCAGAAAGTTTCAGCGGGGAGAGGAATTCGGCAGGGTTTGGTGGACTCAGCAATTTCAGTGCTTCATTGCGCTTGCGAAGCGGTACTGATAGTTTCGAATTGAAGGGAGCCTTGGGGTGAGAGATTGCTGGCCGTGCAGAATGATTGAATCATTTCGATGCCATATTTTAGGGTTTAGGAGGTTGTCAAGAGTGCCCGTTGAGCTCCATTGTGATAAGTTTCTGAATGGTTAGGGTTCATGTCACTCAGGAAGCGGAATTGTGCTCCATAGCGACTGTAGGAGATATTGGCTCCACCCAAAAAGTTATGAAGAAAGAGAAAGTGAGTATACTGAATTCACAAGGATTGAAATTGGTGGGCGAGCTCGAAGACACAGGATCGAAGGACCTCTGTGTCCTCTGCCATGGTTTCCAATCGTCCAAGGAACTCCCGACCTTTGTCTCGGTCTCGAAGGCTCTGACAGAATCAGGGTTCAGCACCTACAGGTTCGATTTCACCGGCAACGGTGAGAGCAACGGCGAGTTTGCATATGGCAATTATTGGCGTGAGGCGGAGGACATACGGTCAGTCGTGAATTACTGGCGATATCGCGGCTGGCGGGTGATTTCCTTAATTGGACACAGCAAAGGAGGCAACGCAGTCTTGCTGTATGCGTCCAAGTATAAGGATGTCGCAAGCATTGTGAACATCAGCGGACGATTCGACTTGAGGAGAGGTACGACGTGATCCTTGTAACCCCGAGATTGTTTCAATGTCGTTCGGGAGAAACGAAACTCGCGATGGTCGAGTGACACCCTTATTGCTTACGGCTAACATATTCTCATGTTTTACCAGGCATCAAGGGACGACTGGGTGGTAGCAAGGGAGTGCAGAAGCTTAAAGAAGACGGGGTGCTGGATGTTTACGACAGAAACGGGAACTTTGAGTTTCGTGTTTTAAAGAGCGACCTAGATGAGAGGTTAGCAACTGATATGCACAAAGCCTGTCTTGCGATTCCCGAGCATTGCAGTGTGCTGAACGTTCACGGATCTGCTGACGAGATTGTACCGGCAGAAGATGTGCACGAGTTTGGCAAAAGGATACGAAACAACGTCGTGCACGTCATTGATGGAGCAGATCACAACTACAAGTTGCAACAGCAAGAAATTGCTAGATTGGTTGCGGATTTCGTCCGGTCGATTCCTAGGCCACCACTTCGGGCTTCACTCTGAATATGGTAAGAATTCCACAACTCCGAACACAGTCTAGAATACTAGAAAACGTATTTGCTTGTACAGATTTGTAGTGAAAGTTACTACCACTGAACAAAAGATCTTTCAGTCGAGGGCTGAGAAAGACCACATATTATGCTATATCGTCAGGTTGGGATTTACTGAATAGGTTATGTCGAACTAGACAGTGCACAAAAACCATGTTTTGGTGATTATATGCTTTAGCCTATCTCCCCAAAATCTAAAGGAATTCGTGTTCTTCATCTTGCATTTTGAAGGATACGAGTTTTTAGCTGTATATAGATTGTGGTTTATTTTAGTTCACAACTTTGATTGAATGTAGTTTGTTCAATAGAACAGTATACAATTTGAATTAAAAAAGATCAATAAGGTGATTAGCTGAAAAGTATGAGGGACATCAGCCTATAAGCTGTCTGAAATGTGTGGTAAATGATATATTTTCAACTTTTATATATTTCATCGGTGGAAATATAAAAAACCGTACATTAGAGTCATAATTAATAGCCTAATAGACAACCTAGTATTGAATTACAAAAACATATTTCTTTTATAGCGGGATGAGACAATTATTCTTTTATAGTGGGATAAGACAATTATTTATTGTTAATGTTGGCACCTCACAAGCACAAAATGTTCAATAGTGATTTTTTTAACAATTTTAACTTTTCAAAAAAAAAATAAGCAAATTTATTTGCACATTGAGCATAAAACAAAAATATACATATACTTGTATCTAAGAAATTAGTTTGTATGTTTAAAATGTATATTGTATCAATAATAATATTACTATAAAAATAGATTGTTGTTTAAAAGTAAAAGAAATTAATATTTCAAAAAATATAAAAATGATGAATGTAATCAAACCAAAATAAAATCAGATTTATTAAAATAATAATAAAAACTATAAATATGAATATATAGATATATATATATGGCTCAAGCTATAAGCACACCTTAAGTTGCTATATGCACATCCATTATGTTTATATATACATCCAAGGCTTTTGATTGGCTCATCTAGATCCCTTTTCCTTTGTCTTGGCTTAGGTCCATATTCCCTTTCTTTTCTCTCTTGTCCTAGTACAAGTCTTGCTGCCTCTTTTCTTCTATCTTGGATCCCAATCCCTCTTCCTTTCTTCTTTGTCCTTACAAAATTTTATACAAAATGTTCATCACAATCTTATATTCATATGCTCTCTACTAGTCTTTTGATGACAAGCTTTTCTATGAAAATAATGCCTTAGCTTTGTTGCTAGACATGAGTGCTTGCAACACTACTCTCATCTTCATGATCCTACACTAAGTATAAATAATTGGCTCACAAAAACCAATGACTTGGAATTTTTCAAAAACCCTTGCTAAAATCATCACTAGTGCTATGTGGGTATGGTAATGATGTGAGCTCTCTTGATCCCAAATAATCTATTCAATTCTTACAAGGCTGTCACATTCAAGTTCTACAGTATACTTCTAAATTTTATGTGAGAATTTTTTTTGGATATGCACCAACTTTACTACCTCAAATAGGTAATTGTTTGAGTATCATTGGATTGTTTGTTGTGGTTGCTAAATTTCACGTTTCCTTTCTTTGATCTATTGAATTCCATCATTTGATTTCTTTTCATGAGCTTCTTGGTGTTCATCATCTCTTATATCATCTACAACATTATATTTTAGAATCTTATCACATCCAAGGTTCATTCTCTTCTTTAGACTTTGTAGACACATAATCACATGTTATTCCAACTTAGTAGACATACAACCAAACCAACATCTTTTGCTAATGAATAATGAGTTTTAGCCCACATTTACAAAATGTAGCTATGTAATTGAAGAAGATCCAAAGAATATTTAATTGGTGGGACATGACAACTTTGTATTATGTAGTGATCATTGTCATTGCAATTTTGGAAGCTAGATTTGATATTTGGACAAGTTTAGAAAATAATATGGATCTAATAGAAAGCTTTGGCATCTTCCAACTCTACTATCAGTGCAAAAGAACATGAATTTCATGCATGAAACAATGATCTAGCACCAACACTCTTCTCACAAACTAATGTCTACTAAAGTGACAACAATAACAAAGAAATAAAATTAGTTATAATATTTTGTGTAAACATACATAGGAGCAAGAAAGAAAGGGAGAAGAGTTGAAACTAGCATTAAAGCAAGAGAGGCAACAAGACATGTGCTAGAAAAACAAAGAAAAAGAAGGAGACATGGATCCATACCAAGACAAAAGAAAAGGAATTTGGATGAGCCAATCAAAAGCCTTAGATGTGTGTATAGACATCATGGATATATATATATATATATATATATATATATATATCAACTTAGAATATGCTTGTATTCTAAGATTATATATATATATATATATATATATATATAGAGAGAGAGAGAGAGAGAGAGACTTATGAAAGCCATACCCTCTTTTTCACTAAATGATTTATTTTATACCATGTTCTTAACCATGAACTTATTTCTTATTCCTTGTTCTTGTACCTTGTTCTCGTTCTACATTTTTTATTTCTACACCTCGTTCATAATCCTGAGTGTCTTGATCCCACCACCCTATTTTCAACCTCTTGTCCCAAATCCACCTCTCCTCTCTCCTTTCATATCTCAATTCCACCATCTCATTTTTGACCTCCCATATTTCAACCCCATGTCCATTGTATATTTACTTTCTGTGTTCTTATTCTATCCCCCCCTCCCTCTCCCTTCCTATCTCAATTCTACCACCTTATTTTTTACCTTCCATGTTCCAACCCCATTCTCACTACATATCTACTCTCTTTATCTCTATTCTACTCTCCCTCCCCCTCCCTTCTCCTTTTCTTCCTCCTTTCTTTCTCCTATCTCCATTTAATTTTATATTTTAAATTTCAATGAGAAAATATATTTTCAAACATAATGAATAATTTTGAATTAAAAATAGATCTATCTTTAATAGTAATTAGTCATGTTATTCTTTCTATAACTTCTTTTTTGTTTATTGATAGGATATCATTAAAAATTACTATTTGTCTCAAATCTTAAATGATATATTTTTATTAAACCATTTATATTAAATTAAGATATATAAAACTAAATTTTTTTTAACATTTTTATTTTTATTATTATTTTAATTATTAAATAAAAATTCAATAAAATTCAATAAACAATATCTATCTTACTTACAATTGCTTGTGATTCTAAATATTGTTAATGCTATAATTTGATATTTCTAAGTGTACTTAATTTGAATTATATTTATTTATATGATTGATTATTATATAGAAAAAATCATGAAACAAAATTATCAAATAATGTGATGTTTGAATATTTAGAAATAAATATCTTGTACTACTTAAAAACTAGATTAAAATTGATATATGATATTTATTTTATTTTACTTGGTAATAATAATAAATTTCCAAAGTTTAAAATTTTATACAAAAATAGATATTGATAACAGCCTTCTTTTGCCAAAAAAAATCTCATTTTTTCCTTAAATTCCTCAATTATTTAATTTTCTATATTTTTTATTTTTTAAAGATATATTCTAAAATGTATGCATCCCAAGATAACACAATTCCTGTAAAATTCGTGTTTGTAAACCTCATATGAATAAATTCATCAAAAAAAAACTTAAGAGATGCACATAAAAAAATTCTTGATTTTCTTTAAAATTATTTTTGTAAAAACCTATCATTTTTTCTATCAATTTTATGTAGATATTTAAAATAATAGTTATTTATAACTAATTTGTGGTCATTCAATAATATATACAAATATGTATTGGTAAAAAAATATCATTTCATTTTATTTCTAAAAAAAAAATATCAATTGTCTTTTTAAAAATTATACATTATTTTAATCATAATAGATGATTTTTATATATATATATATATATATATATATATATATTAATATTTTGTAGGGATGAGGTGGAAACAAGGGAGGGGACTAAGGTGGGATTGAGGGTGGGATTTTGTTGAAGGAAAGAAATCTTTAAGTAGTTGCTAATGGTCAATAGAGTACAAGTGTTGTTAGGGATATCCCATAAGATTAGGTGTTGGTCTATAGTGCATTAGAGTACAAGGGGAGGGTTGGTCCTAGGAGATATCTCATATGGGTTGTAGCACTTGGTACCTTGGTACTAGTATATAAGGAAAGGGTTGGCATGGGAAGAATCATCTCATACCACACTCTATTTGTTAAAGTGCAACCTTGCTGGTCCTAACTTACTTGTGTGGAGTATGCTTTCTATGTTTCAATAGGTTATGGGCCCACATTCTCTTACCAAGTAAGTTGTTCTTGCATTATTTCTTTGTTGCTTATTTTTGGTGGTTGAGATCTTATGGTAGAGTGTTGCTAGTGAATTGTTGAAGTCATTGCTCCTGGATTTGTGAGTGTATGAGCTTAGTGCAAGACCTTGATAGTGTCTTTGCTAAAGGAGCACTAGTATTTGAGAGTTTTATGAGAAAGTGAGTCATTTTGAGTGAAGTGACGTTAGAGAGACGTTTGAAAGTCATAAAATCACATTACAAACCATTCTCCACCATTTAGACGTAATTTGGACTCAAAATATGCAAAAAGTTGCAAAACAGCGAATTCTGGGTTTGTAGTTCAGCAATCTTTAAGTAGTCATATCTTTTGCATTATAACTCCAAATCAAGAGTTTTTTGGACTTACTTGTAGCTTGAGATGGCGTCTTTTGAGGGTGATAGCTTAAGAGTTGTTGAAAAGTTTAGAGGTGACAACTTTCACCACTGGAAGGCCAAAATGGAGCTACTTTTGGCGTCATTGGATCTTTGGGAGATAGTAGATGAGGAGGAACTTGCACCTGGGATAGAGGCAAGCATCAAGGAGCAAAAGGACTTCAAAAGACGAGAGAAGAAGGCTTTTGGCATAATTGTCACCAATTTAGATGAAAGCAACTTTGCTCATGTCATTTCTTGCAAAGGGGCAGCAGATGCATGGAAGACTCTTTGCAATGTCTATGAAAGTAGGAATCTCTCCAATGTGCTATGGTCAAGGCAAAAATTCTTCACCGTGAAGATGGAAGAAGGTGAAGATCTCATGGCTCATGTGAATAAGGTAAAAGCACTTGCAAACCAACTTGCTGTTGTTGACAAGCCTTTACTTGAAGAAGATGTTGTGATGACATTGCTCTCAAGCCTTCCAGACTCCTATTCCTCCCTCATTATGGCATTGGAGTCCATTTCAAGGAAAGACCTCACTTTGGACTATGTCACGGCAATACTAGCCCATGAAGTGACCAAAAAAAAGCAAAAGGAGTCTATTGGGGAGCAATCAGCACTATTTACAAGACCAAGTAAGATAAGTGCCCCTTTTCAATATTATCCTCCTAAAACTTCTTACATTTGTGGAAAACCAGGCCATTTTGCTAGAAATTGTTTCAAGGCAAAGAAAGGAGAAAGAGAGAATGCCAACAATGCTTTTCATGA